TTTTTTTTTTTTTTTTTTTTTTTTTTTTTAAGACCTGAGAAAGTTTATTAGACAGAGAGTAAGGATGCACTCGAAGGCAGAATGCAGGTACTCAAAGAAATGTGGGGCCCCAGCAGTTACTTTTCATATAAATGTACCTGAATTTTGATTGCTGTGCTGTCAGTAATCAGGAGGTTTTGGGTGAGTCAGCCTTTTCAGGCCTTTGGTTTTCTCATCGGTGAATTAGGTAGGAGTTGGTCAAAACCACTATGAGATACTATTCCACACTCATTAGAATCGCCATAATCAAAAAGTCAGTGCTAACCATGTTGGTAAAGATGTGATTAAAAGGAAACTTTTGTGTACTGTTGGTATAAATGCAGATTGTCACAGCCATTATGAGAAACATGGAGGTTTCTAAACAAGTTAAAAACAGCTAGTCCCTCTTCTGTGCATATACCCAAAGAAGGTGGAATCTCTACTTTGTAAGAGAAATCTGTGCTCCTGCCCTCACTCCAGCTGTGTTACAATAGTCAGTGTGTATAAATGACCTGAGTTTCCTTTGGTGGACAAAGAAGGTATGGTACCTGTGTGTGGTGGAAGTGTATCAGTACCATTTGCCATACTTACTTCATCTGGCAGAGGTTATATGCTAAGTGAGAGGCCAGCCACAGAAAAATTTTTCATGATTTCATTTATATGTGTGATGTAGAAAAATTTTAAATTAAAATATACAGAAATAGTGAAAAAAACTGGTTAGTAGGTCAGGGAGGAGGAGGAAATGTGGAAATATAGGTTAAAGGGTACAAAGCCACAGATATATAGGATGAACAAATCTAGAGATGTCATGTGCAGGAGGACCATAAGTAATAAGCTGTACTGTATACAGGATGTGTGCAAAATGCATAGATTTTAGCTGCTCTTGCCACCAAAAAAAAAAAGTACAGGACAATTACGTGAGGTGACAAATATTATTTGCTTTAGTAGGTTTTTCACTGTTGTATAATACGAAACATTCTGTTACATACCTGAATTAAACATAATGAAATACATATGTACACATACATAAACGCGTGTGTTCCCCCTCCCACCTTTACCGGGGTTTGATTTCAGGACCTTGCACTTTAAAGGCAGGGGCGTGGTGCCGTTGAGCTAAATCCCTAGTCATCAATGAAATATATTTAAATTTTTAAAAAAATATTGAGTTAGACCAGATGTTCCCCAGAATCTGATTTTGTTTTCTGCACTGTGATTGTAGAGTGTGTAATGGCTTTCATTTTCCTTTTTCTTCCACATAGGATGGAATATGGGATGGTAACTTGTCAACATATTTTGACATGAATCTATTTTTGGATATAATTCTAAAAAATGTTTTAGAAAACTCTGGGAAGAGGAGAATTGTATTTTCTTCATTTGATGCAGATATCTGTACAATGTGAGTAATACTTTTTCTTCTGTACGTGTAGAGTATAGCTCAGGGTATAGGCTGTCTGGTGTCCAGGTTTCACACTCCTTGTCCTCTCCTCATATTACACATTTTCTTGTCCCTGCCTGAGGGCTCCTGGGGTACCTTGACCCTCGCCCTGAGTGTTTTCCTGGTTTGCCATGTCCTCTTAACCAGATTGTACCCCTCAAAGGTATTTCCATTTCTGAGTATGTTAGCTTTCATAGAAAAACTTGGAAGACAATACGTATCATTGGTGGATTTAGTTGAGTAATGGAATATTTCAAATTTTGCTTTGTTTTCTTTTTCTTTTTTCTAAAAATCTCAAAACAATATTACAATTATACTCCAAGAAAAAGTATTTTTAAATTGTCTCTTTTAGGGTTCGACAAAAGCAGAACAAATATCCCGTATTATTTTTGACTCAAGGAAAATCTGATATTTACCCTGAACTTATGGACCTCAGATGTCGGACAACCCCCATTGCAATGAGCTTTGCACAGTTTGAAAATCTTCTGGTAAGTTATGTTTGAGTTTTTATCTTGTAATTTTCTGTATTTGTGTGTTTTAGGGCAATAGTAAATATGGTTTATTACTTTACACACTTAAATGGTTAAGATCTAATAAGTAACAAGCAAATAGCTATACTTTGATATGAGTGTGTCCATACATTCAATATGTATGTTTATAAATTACAGCTGGGCTTGGTGGCACACACCTGTAGTCCCAGCACTTGGGAGGCTGAGGCAGGAGGATCACTGTGAGTTTGAGACCAGCCTGGACTATATAGTGAAACCTTGTCTAAAAAAACAAAAACAAAACAAATGATATAAATATATATATCATTATGTATTGGTAATACATATATATGTGTTGTAGTCAGCAGGATTGGGTGAGGGAATACATTAAATACAAGACACATAACTTATAACATCATTTTATGATAATCACCCAAAGAGACAAATGCAAAGGAGTGCAAGAGATTAACCATACACTAGAAGCCCAAAACATTCAACTGAGGGCCTGGATCTCAGCAGTTTCCCACATAAGTGCAGCTAAAGGCTTAGAGAACAAGGCAGTGTCTTCCTCGAGTCCAGCCAGTGGCCTACAGCCCACAGCAGTGTCTCCTGCTTGTGCCTATTGAGGATCTGCACCTGGGAGTCCCAAAGACCAGGGGTGGAAGCCAGGAAATCTATGCTCATGAGATGAAGGGTCTGTGTCAGCACGCTGAGGGATCCACGTTGGAGCCAGGAAGTGATGTTCATGGTAAAGATCAGAGCTCCCCTGATGAAAGCAGCAGCCGTTCCCAGTGACAGTGAGGTCCTGAGCTCTTCCAATGATGAGAACGGCCTGGTTTGCATCAGGAAAACCATCTGCATGAGCCCAAATACATAGGTAAAAGATCTCAAGTATCCTCCCCAGTTCTCTCTTTATGGCTCTTGGTAACAGTCTTCAGGTGGATCCTCCACACCCAGACCATACTGATTCACTTCAGCTGGGCGTTACAAGTTGACCACTAGTCCATTATGATATGAAATATCAATTATGAACAATAGGATAATTCTAAGAAAAAAATTCTTTTCTCTCCCTGTCTGATCTACTCTAGGGAGCCCTTTTTTCTATAGAGTATAAATGTTTAGCATTTGGAGTAACTACATTACTTATTTGTGAACAACCAATTTTTCTTCTTTCAGGGGATAAATGCACATACTGAAGATCTTCTCAGAAACCCCTCCTATATTCAGGAGGCAAAAGCTAAGGGTCTCGTCATATTTTGCTGGGGTGATGACACCAATGATCCTGAAAACAGAAGGAAGTTGAAAGAATTTGGAGTTAATGGTCTAATTTATGATAGGTACTTGTTTTGCATAAAAAATCTCTCTGGAATGTTAGAAAAAGTATAGCTTTAATCTTTTAAAATATAAATAAAATTAAACTTAGTTAAAGTTCTGTAGTTCAGCCTGAGGTTTATCTTGATGTTTTTCAGTAAGTTTTTTCAAACTTTGAGCTGTATCAGAATCATGCAAGGAGCTTTAAATTGAGGTGCCTGGGCTGTGACATAGATGCGCTGAGTCATCCCTGGGGTGAGTGGCCGTCTCCCCCAGACCGGTTTTCTGTCTGCCAGCTTCCTCAGTGGGCTCAATTAGCTGGCTTTCCTTACACTTTCAGTCTTCCCAGCATTGCTTATCTCCAGCTCAGACAGTTCTGACTCAGACTCCATTCTTTCCAGTTTCTCAGGCCCAATCCTAGGAATCTGCCATGGCTGTCATCTCATACCCAGATCCAGTTAGGTGGAAAATCTTGTTGACTCTGACCTCTAAGATACTGCAGTGGCTGCAGCCTGGCCACTGCCTCTGCCCTTGGACCCCCCCACCCCCCCACCACATTGTCTGTTCTCACACTGTAGCCAGAGGGAGTCCTTTTAATCTCTAGTAGATTGTGTCCTTACTCAAACACCCGCAGTTTTCTGTCACCGAAAGGAAAAGCCAAAATCATGACAGTGCCTTTATACAAGCTGGTTCCTTCCACACCCCCGCCAAACCTTCCTGTTCTGACCTGTCTCCTACAACTTCTTCCCATCTTGAGAAAAAGACTTCTGTGAAGACTAACCTGTCACCTAGTGAGGTCTCCCCTGAATAAACCTCTGCTCCTGGTATACTTACTGCCTTTTCTGTGTGTCTTTTATGACCACCTGATACACACATGTACATACCCAGTATCCCTTGTCTGCTTTTTCCCTGGCACCTTTCTTCTGACTTTCCCCACTCCCTAGGTGGGAAGGCTTATGTGATCAGCTCTGTAAGGGAAAGGCCTCTTCCAGTTTTGTTCACTTCCTCCAGGGGCCAGGACAATTAATATATGTTGCATAGTAGGAATTCTTATTTATAAAGAGCTCTCTTTTTATGATGATGATGATGATGATGATGTAAGTTTGACAGCCACTAATCTGAGGAACAGAAAGGTTGCTTAGATGTAAAGAAATTTCTGATTAGAATGTCATTTACTTGCTGATAGCATTGCTGGTTTGCAAAAATAAAATGATAAAATACTCACCAGACTTGCTCGTGGAAATACTTTCCTTTTTAGACATTTTCAACTAATTAAATGAAAATTAAACTTTCATATTAACCAAAGGAAATGCTAGCTGTAGTAAATCTTTGAAGATTTGATATGTATATGTGTGTGTGTGTGTGTGTGTGTGTGTGTGTGTGTGTGTGTGTGTGTGTATATATATATGAAGGAAAGAGCGATGCAGCTCTTTTTAGGTTGGAGCTGTGTCCTTTGAGATGATATGCACAGTTTTGAGGGCCTACAAATTTTAGTCAGATCCTTCATCTCAAGGACCTTCCTTGGTTAGAGCCAAACGTTGATGTGAAATGGAAATAGGAAGATACTGTATGATAGAACAGATGCTAAAGACAGTTCTTTCCATCTTCCTGTATTTAAAGAGGAGAGACTAAGTTGGAATTGGGGGGTGGGCAGTACCAGGGAGCGAACTCAGGACCTTGAGCTTGGGAAGCAGGTTTGGGTGCCACTGAACTAAATCCCCGGCCCAAGTTGGAATTTTGAGAGTTGCATTTTAGGTGGAGGCAAGAGTATGAATTGGGCAGGATATTGAAGGAGTGGAGTCTTCATGAGAGCCTAGAACTGGGCTGGCCTGGGGCTGCCAAGAAGTAAGGGGCCCTGTATTAGAGTGGATTTTACCAGTGGAGGCTTTGTGGAACTTATTTTTTCTTTATAAGTGTGTTAAAAATACTGCATGTGTACAGTTTTAAAATTTAAATGGTTCTCCAAAGTTTGTTTAAAAAAACCAAAGCAGTGCCTTGTACCTATTTCTTCCATTTGTTTTATGAGTACTTTCTACATTTTTTTTAGCTGTTTTCTTCTGATAATTTACTTCTAGATTTCAAAATCATAATACTATTTTTTTACCAAATGTAGATATGTAGAAGGTTTTGGATGATTAAATGATTTGGAGCCTTTGAGGCATTTCTTTAGCAGAGGTGGTGAAAGTGGGTGTTTCAAATTATTAAGAAATACTCCTCCATACAAAGCCACTAAAACACAGTAGCTTTCACATTAATCATATTTAGCAATGGATTGTCTCATGTAAACTGCATTTGATTTTCTAATTTTTTGGAAAGTTTTGCATTTATGATCACGAGCAGGATGACCTTTATATGTCACAAATGGTTGTCTAGTTTTGGTTGGAGATAGTACTGGACTCAGTAAATTAATCCTTTTTTCTTTTTAAGTAAAAAATACTTGTATTTTCTAAATGATGTTTTAAAAATACGGTAACAATTCATCCTATAGCTATGCTTAAACATTATCAATAGTTTTGAAGTCCATGTGGGTGTCTACAAAATTCTATTACCTCATCTCTCTCAGATGTAACCACTTACTGAATTATTCTTAAAAATTTTTAATCTTAGCTGGGCATTGCGGTGCACTCAGGAGGCTGAGGCAGGAGGATCGCTGAGAGTTTGAGACTAGCCTGGGCTACATAGTGAGTTCCACATCAGTCTCAACTGCATAGTGAGACCCTGTCTCAAAAAAACAAAACAAAAAAAAAGTTTAATCTTATTTCTGTCCCTAAATAATGTCATTTAGTTTTACCTTTATGCTTTTGTCATGTTAAAGTTAATCCACATTTTTCTATATTATATAGTAGTAATTTTCATGGCTATGTGATAGTTCATTGTTTATTTTGCTATTTAGGAACACTTGGGCTGCTGCCCTGTTCTACTTTTATGCCCAGTGTTGCAGTAACATTATTGATCAGGTCTCCTGGAATATAAAAGTAAAGTTTCTCCAGGGCAATCCCATTTCACATTGCAACACAGTACACACATAGATATGTACATATACAAGTGTGTACCTAGACAGAATTTAAAAAATAATACCCCTTTAATATTTCCTATTCATATGTATTTGTTTAAATGTGAGTCTTAATTTTCTAAACTAATTTTGTAACCTACTAGGTCTCCAGAGAGCTCAGCACATATAGGCTCCAGCAAATGGTTCAGGCATTAGATGCATAACAGGACCATCTGTCGCCGACTGGCATGAGATGTTCTGTTTCCTGGTTCAGCACAGCCCGCCTGAGTTCTCAGGAGTAGCCCTGTGAGGCCGTGCAGGGGTTCAGACATCCTGTGTAAGGAAGACGCTGGTTCAGGCTTACCAGGGCACACTGTGTGAGGGTTACAGGGCAGAAGCATCAGCAGCCTCTTAGGACAGTCTTTACTCACCCGCTTTCACCCAGATGGCTCTGGTCCACGTGGCTGGCTCTGCTTCTGTGACCACCGCTTGCTGGCATTCCTGTTTGCCATTTCCTGCTTCCCGTTGCCTGTATCTTTTTCAGTTTTGTTTCACTGTCTCTGATGCTGGACACATTTTAGCATTTCCTGAGCAAGGAGGACATGGAATGGAATGTTCTTACATATTTGGAAATGTTAAGCTGGACACAGATTCTATATTAGAAATGATTTTCCATTAGCATTTTGTAGGCATCCATCTTTAAGACAAGACAAAATTTGTATAATTTGGATGATTCCTTTGTAAAGGAATTCTCATGGAAAAGTTAAACCAGGCAGATCTAAAATAAGCCATAAAAATTACACTATTTTACATATTTTGTTTGTTTCATCATAGGATATATGATTGGATGCCTGAACAGCCAAATATATTCCAAGTGGAGCAGTTGGAACGCCTGAAGCAAGAATTACCAGAGCTTAAGAGCTGCTTGTGTCCCACTGTGAGCCACTTTGCGCCCTCATCTCTGTGCGGGGAGCCTGACAACCACGTGGATGCCAATGGCATCGATAACGTGGAGAACGCTTAGCTTCTCCTGTGCACTGTGCAGACTGTTCAGCGGTGGCTCTTCCGGGTGTTCACCTTCCATCATTGAACATTGTTTATCTCTGCCTTTTGGGTTTCTCAGTCCAATGAAGCAATAATGAAGTATTTTATTCTTTCACTACAGTTCTTGCAAGAATTTCAAGTATGCTGTTTAAATCACTTGGCCAGGTATAATTGCCAGTCAGTCTCTACAGCAAGAAAATGTATTGGTTGGTAAATATTTTTTTAACTAAATAAGCCTATGTTAAATTTATATGAAAAACATAGATCTTTGAAATTAACTATATAAATATCATATTTACACGTCTTAGCTTTTTATTTGATCAGGTCTCAAATCTTTAGCCCTTGAGGAAAATGACTATGCATAGTTATACCTGACCATGGAAAATATAAGTACCTCAAATGCATGCATTTGCACTGGTGATTGCAACTGCACAAACCTTTGTGCCATCTGTGTATATAGGTTTTTTTTAAAAAGAAAAAAACATGGATCGACATGCACAGAAACCATTTTCATTCAGTATGAGCCTTGAGGCTGCTGCCATTTTTCCACTTAACCAAACCAGCCTGGGGTGCACCTTGAAACTTGTTTCTTCAATCTTTCAAGAGTTCTTTTGCATAAATATTAAAATTTCAAAATGCTGCAGGGTAATTTAACATGAACTATTGGCAAGAAGTATGTATTGCATTATTAATAGAGTAGATCACAGTGTATAAATCCAGTTTGATGCATGCTTTAGGTTTTAAGCATGAGATTGTACACTTTACTGTTTAGTCCTTGCGTCTGGTGCTAGGTGAGCGTGAGAAGATGGCAAGGACTAGCAATATTTTGTTGCCTAAAAAAAAAAAGAGCCTGTTTGTTGGCATTTGAAATATGCTTAGTTAGTGTCTCTCACTACCTATTACACATCGTTGCTTTGTGGGTTTGTTTTATGTGCATGTGTGTTGTATAATAGTTAAATCTCAATGCAAAGAAAATAAATGTTCTGAATTCTTATATTGGTATTCTTTATTGGTTAATATATATCATGCATGTAATTTAGGAATGTAGAAGATCTTACTAAATGTGTGTGCATGGTTTTAGGTTTCTTTAGAAGTGGATTGCATCGACATAACTAACAAGAATGAATTTAAATTGACATTTTCTTCATGATAGAATTTCAGGAAGATGTTACTTTTATAGAATGGTTTTATAATGTTATTATGAGCACTTGAAATTTAGTGTTGACTCTAAAGGAATATCTTATTTGCATCCACCTTTTACTGTATATTCTTCCTGAGGCGATTTATTCATGTATTGTCATATTGATAGTAGCTGAGAACCTAAGACTTGAAATTACACATTGTAACTTTCATTTTTAAGCAAAGTAATGCAATTTCGGTCAGATCTTAATTGTGTGACGATGGGGTCTGAAGTCCTATGGTGTTTGTAACACTGATGTTTAGTGGAAAGTAGTTGAAGAAATGGAGTCTTCTACAAATTTTCCATACTTTTCCCACATCGAATGAAATTTTTTAATGTTTTCATGCAAATTGGGCACTAAAAGGAAACGGAAAAAGACTTCATCTGCAGATCTTTGTGTAACACAGCACATTCCCTATGGTAACTTGATCAACTGTATCTTCATTTCCAGTTCTGTTCCTGCCCTGTCCCCCGTTCCACCCCCGGCTCCGTTTTGAGAACTCACAGGCAGAGGGGAAGCAGACCCTAAAGGAAAGAGGGCAGACAGGGTGAGGAGGGGAGGCGGTGTGTGCGGGCTTCCTAAGTCTGAGCAGGGCCTCCAGGAACTGCTTTGCCTGCTGACAGAATCTGAGCACTCGCTTCCTTTCCTATCCCCCCTCACTTCACACCAGGCAAGCCATTTAAGCAAGGGTAAGTCGGGGTGTGTGTCACTCTCCGGCCCCTTGACACCTGGAAGACTTGCCTTCCCACTCACTGCCCTGGGAGCCGCCCGTCTCCAGCCCTTGCAAAGCTGCTTCAGGGGAGAGGCTCCGTGCTTCTACCCATGACAGCCTGGCATGTGCTGGGCATGCCGTGCCTCCGGGTACCACCCAGATGGCTGCATGGGGTGTCCGTTGCTTACCAGGCTGCAGCTCTTCCATGCCAGAGACCCCGGCTGACTCACTTTGACATTCCAGTGTGTGGAGCAGAGTAGAAAAGAAGGCTGGAATCACTAGGATAACAGTTTGTAGCAAATGTCCTTCAGAATCAAAAGACCTTGTTATATTTACTCTGAATGTAAACTTGGACTTGGTTTACATTTTGAGGGTTGGGATGCCTTGTTGGTGTCTATTGAACTGTATAGCCATGATGTTAAATTATTTTATACTTTCTGGAAATAGAGTGAAACATTTGATAAAATGCCGCCATTTTCTGATATTTTCACTCTGGAATCATGTACAGTACCTGCTGGATGTGAACATGAGCCCTGCAGCTCGCTCCTGTGTGGGTGATGCCTGAGGGCCACTGCAGCTGGCTTTCTGCCACCCGCTTACCTCATGCCATTGTTCATGTGACACCTGTCTCCCCTCCAGTGCCCCCGCTTCTGCCTACCTCAGTGCTGCTTTTCTTGTCTGAAATGCCGCCTCTGCCTTTGACCTGAATTTGATGGGAACCTTTGCAGACGGCCTGTATATCGCACTACTTCTCTAGCTGGGGTCGCCCCACTTACTGGGTTGGGACATGACTCCCAGTCTGCCCTGTGTTCATGAACTACGCTGCCTTCGCAGTCCTGTGGTACTTGTTGGCATGAGCTATCTTACGGTCCCTCCTCTGTAACCAGTTATTTCTCTAATAAGATTGTGAGCCCCGTAAGGGCAGGCACTGCTTTGCATCCTAACACTCCTGTAGTGTTCTGTCCTTAGCTGTGGACTAGATAAATAAACACTGGTGGCAACAATCCTAGTTTCCTAACATTGTTTCACAGTGTTATGTGCAGCATGCTTGGCTGTGTTGTGTAGAGTGTGTGTACACGTGTGTGTGCCTTGTGTGTTCACACCTGCAGTTTTCTGCCTGGAGTCACATTTGATGAGTCCCCTGAACCAGATTTCTGATCCATGCTGAATAAGGAAAATGACACAAATAATGGCTGTTACTGAATAGTGGACGGTAAGGTCCACCTTTCCCCTGGGCTGATTGCCTCTTGCTGGAGCAGTGCAGTATCCCTGAGTCCTGCAGCTCGTGGACTGGTGACACCCCACCTTGGGCAGCGCCTCTGGGCTCTGTGGTGCACTCCATCTCATCAGTCCTCGGACAGCCATTGCCCTGTCCGCCTCTGCTCTTTCTGTTCACAACTGTGACAGTTTTCTCACAATAGTGAAGACTTGCCATTGGGTTTGTAATCAAGTCTTGCTGATTTAGATTTGGATACAGTAGATTTACTCCGTTGTGTTCTAGGTTTGGATCATGTACTTTGGGGTAAGGTATTCGTAATAGAGATACTGTATTATTTTGGCACTCATGATTGAACATTCATTCAAATACAGTGCAGCCACTTAGTGGGCTTGTGGAGGTTGGAAAGTGGAGTTGAGCACATGCCAGAACACACAAGATTAGGACTGTGCCATGCAGTATGTGTTGGAGAAAAGGAGAGGTTATGAGCTAGAACAGTCCATGAGCTCCCAAGCTCTTTCAGTGGGGTAGCAGTCACGACAGCTGTGAAACCAGCCTTGAATAACACTCTGTCAGCGGGGTCTCGCAAGTGGTCGTGCTGTGTTCTGGGGAGCACCCATTGGCTGGGGAGAAGATACTATGAATGTCAGCTATAGGTGTCTGGTGTCCTTTAGGAGATACTGCTTTTTCACTGATTTTAAAGAAGGGAAATGACAAAGGCAAGTGTTTAAAAATAATGAAGAGGCCAGGTGTGGCACACGCCTGTAATCCCAGCACTTGGAAGGCTGAGGCAGGAGGATCACAGTGAGTTCGAGACCAGCCTGGGCTACATAGTGAGTTCCAGGTCAGTCTCAACCACATAGAGCTTGTCTCCAAAAACAAAAACAAAAATAATTAAAAATAAAGAGCTGGGGATTTGGGTCCGTGGTTCTGGTGCCTGCCTCACATGCACAAAGGACCTGAGTTTGATCCCTGGTGTGAAAACAAAACAAAAATAATGAAGAAAGTAGGTTCGGGCATGGTAGTGCGCATCTGTAATCTCAGCACTCTGGGGTCTAAGGCAGAAGGATAGCGTGAGTTGAAGGCCAACCTGAACTGCATAAATGAGACCTTACCTCAAAAAAAAAAAACCTAAACGAACAATTTCTTTACAAATTTTCTAATTATCTCTTCATGTCCATCTGATTTCATTCCTTTTTAGAAAATAATTGTTTTTCTCTTATTAATGGAAATGTAACTTCCTTTCATCTCTTGGAATACTAAACCTAAATTTGGGGGGTACTGGGATTTGAACTTGGGCCATTGTGCTTTCGAGGCAGGCGGCAGAACCACTGAGCTAAATCAGTCCAAAACCTAAATTATTTTGAGGTCTTTTTCAGGTTCTGTAATGAATTCCTGTTGAATTGGCTCTTTCTCTTATTGCTTGCTTGTGTTTTAGCATTTGATTATTGTGTTTTTGTCTCTTTCAACCACTGGTGATCTTGTGATTGTCTCCCTCAAAACTCAGTCTGAACCTTGGTACATGATCTGATTAATGACAGATTGAAGGACACCTGGGACATGGTACTTTCCCCCGGTGTCACTGATTTTTTAAAAGTGTGTGTGTGTGGTAATGGGGGTTGAACTCGACCTTGCCTTTGCCAGGCAGGCACAGTGCTACTGCGCTACACCCCAGGCCCTTTGGTTTGAATTTTGATCCAAGGAGATTTTCATGTTCTATTTTATTCATTTTTGTTTTATCTCTTGATACTTTGTTCATTCTTCCTGGACATAAATTTCTTCTAACAAGAAGCAGATTCTTTGATTTTTTTTTCCACTTTATCCTTTTCTACTTTATTACTTCAAATTAACCACAATAAAGCTCATAAAAGTCCAATATTTACACAGGAAAAAAGAACAAAATTACCCCGAGTTCTTTAGTATTTTTTTTTCAGTTTTTTAAATTATAAAGTAATAAAAAGCTTTGCTCTTTAATTTAAAAAAAGGAAGAGGAAACAGGTAAGTAGATTAGGAAATACACAGATGGAGAAAACAAAAATAAAATAAAATTTAAGAAAAGCGGACATGAACCAGGAAGGATGGAGGAATCCAACCCTTGGCCCCGGGCCCCAGGCTCCTCCTGGGAAGGCAGGCGTGGGGGAGGGATCTTGAGTGACGGTCAGGACGAATTGATGACACGGCCAATGCTGTCTGGGAGCAGCCTCTGCGGACGCTGCCTTGGGCCAGCAGTGGAAGATGGGGTCGCCACTGGCTGACATCGGGTGGTGGTGGCGGCGGTGTCCTCTGCTCTGAGGGATGTGGAGGACGCTGTCCCCCGTCCTTGTTAGAAGGAAGAGAACAGAAGCTTGGCCCGGCCATTGAGGCGGGCACCCACCGTCCTGGGAGCACAGGTCACGCATAGGCGTGGTGGCCCCTGGGGTCTTCACGGAGAGGTGGGCGAGGGACCCGGATGCTCCGGGTGACACTGGGGAAGCCCAATGCAGAAAGTTGACTGTTGGCATCTCAGGCTGGGGTGGTGCACGTCTGCCTGAAGTCCGAGGGCGTGAGACCTGCCTTCTGGACCAAGCCACTCCCAACACGAGCTCCTCGGACCACCTCTGAGGGCTGCATCTCCAATGCCGAGAGGCCCCCTCCTGCAGGTGGGGTGTAGCACAGAACTTTTGTTTTTCAAAGACAATACAGTGAAGACACTGAGCAAACACTGGCCGATGGTGCCCAAAGCCATCCTTCCTGAGGAGGTCAGACCTCTTGCTGCCCAGTGAGGTCCGAGGACGCGAAGTTGGCGGGCGCGCGTGTGCAGCCTCATGCTCACCTTCCTCTCCAGGCCGACCCAAGAGAAGGCTCTGGGAGAAGCATCGCCAGCCTGCTGGACGCGGGAGGCGGGGGTGGAAGCCCTACGGGGCCGGGTGGCGGTGGATCGAAGGGTCGATCCTCCTCGCAGGCGCCCCGGTGCTCCCGGTCCAAGTCCTGGGGCCGTCCGGGAAGGGCAGGGGGCTGCGTGAAGGGGCCGTGGGAATCCGAACATGTTCCAGTCAAAGACGCCATCACAGGAGAAGCCCCGCCGGCGGAGAGGTTTCGGAAGAGCTGGAGCGGGGAGGAAGAGTCGGGTGGGCCATCGAATGGCAGGGAGCGGCAGAGCACTCTGGGGGGGGCCCCTGGAGAGGACCTCGAGGGGCGTGGACATCTCACCGATCCACTCACGCCCTGGCACACAGCGCAGGCTCTCCAGGTGGTCCAGGAGGCTCCGCTCCAAGCCCAGGTGGGTGTTGACGGAGGCGCGGTGGGCAGTGCCCGTGGTGAGGTTCTTGTTTCCCGGGTAGGGGACGTGCTGCTGGGTAGAGCGACCCGGTACTTCTCGGCCAGGCCGACGTCAGTGCTGTACACCAGGTTACCTTTCTTTCCCAGGCCCTTGAGGAAGCTGTCGGGCT